AAGGGTGTAGCTAATGAACACATAGTACAACGATGGTTCCAGAGGTTCCATTCTGGTGATTTTAATCTTGAAAATGAGCCACATGGGCAACCTGAGACCAAGGTGGAGAATGATGAGCTGAAAGCTATAGTGGAAGTGAATCCATCTCAACCTACCCATGAATTAGCAGCAAGGTTTGATGTTACTATTCCAACAATATTGGACCATTCGAAACAAACGGTCAAGGTAAAGAAGCTGGATAAATGGGTTCTGCATGAATTAAACGAGTGTCAGCAGAGTGATCATCTTGAAGCTGGCCTTTCTTTGCTGTCATGACATGAAGGAGAACCATTTCTACACCATACTGTGACATGTGATGAAAAATGGATTCTTTTTGACAATTGCAAGCATTTGACACAATGGTTGGATAAAGATGAAATGTCAAAACATAGTCCAAAACTGAATATTCATCAAAAAAAAGCTAATGGTATCTGTTTGGTGGTCTAGTGCTGGTACTATCGACTATAGCTTCATGAAACCTGGTCAGTCAATTATAGTGGATGGCTACTGCAACCAATTGGACAAAATGATGAGGATGCTTGTGATTAAGCAGCCGAGATTGGTCAATAGAGAGAGGCCAATCCTCTTGCAAGACAACACTTGACCACATGTCGCACAACCAATGTTGCTTAAGCTACAGCAGGTGAACTTGGAAATTCTCTGTCATCCACTGTATTCACCAGACGTTGCACCAACTGACTGCCACTTCTTCTGAGCTTTGTATCACTTCTTGCAAGGAAAAACATTCAATTTTCAACAAGCTGTGGAAAATACCTTTCGCGATTTCATTGTCACTCACTCTCCAGGCTTCTTTGTAGCTGGCGTAAACAAGCTACTGCTAAAGTGGCAAAACTGTGTTGATAGTTTAGGTGCATACTTTGATTACTTGTACTGCTTCTTGTTTGAGATGTAATAAACTATACTTTTGATTCAAAATCGGACATTTCATATTTAATGACCAAATATAACTCAGTTTATTTTCAGTTCTTTTTGTCTTTAGACTGAGGACATATAATCAAAGTACTGAGTTCAAAAGTGACTTGGGTGACTTTTCCCCCCCAACTCCCCTTAGATAGGTTCATTTGTTATTTTTTAAATTCTATATTAGCATTTTATTTTGAAATCATTCCTCATATTTGATTTTATTATGTAAAACATTACAATGTTTAGAATGTAAAACATTAATGTGATCCCCAAAGTCAAAACTATACAAAAAAGTCACCCCATCCATATTCTTCCACCTTGTACTCACACATCCTCTATAGATAACCAATCTCTTTAATTTCTGGCTTATCACTCCTGTATTTTCTTTTTGCAAAGTGACCAAAAATAAATATTTCCTTATTTCTCCCTTTTTTAAAAATAAATAGTAGCTTACTAAATGTTTTCTTTTGTAATTTGCTTTTTTAAAATTTAAAAGTACATCCTAGAAATCACTACTATCAGTTCAGATATCTCCTTCATTCTTTTTTAAAGCTTAGTACACCATAGTATAAATGGGCAACAATATACTCACTGTCTTCTGCATAGGCATTTAGGTTATTTCCAATAATTTGCAAGTATAATAACATTATATAGATGTCTTCATATTTTTGGAGGTATATCTTTAAATTCCTAAATGAGAAATTGTTGGGTTATAAAGTAAACACATATAGTTCAATATGCCAAAGAGTTACACTACCTTAGTATAAAGTGTGACAGTGTCAGTTTCTCCACAGCCTCACCAAAAGTGCATTATCAAAGCTTTTAAAATTTTTGCCAAGATAATAAGAAGTGGTATCTCAGTGTAGCTTTAATTTCTCTTATCAGTAAAGCTGAATATCTTTTCATATGTTTAAAGGCCATTTTAATAATGTTTTTTGGTTGTTTACTCATTTTTCTGTCAGATTTTTGCCTCTCCTCCCTTTTAAAAGTTCTTTACATATAAAGGCTTTTACTGCCCTTTATATGACATATATGTTGCAAATGTTTTTTTCCCAGTTTGTATTTGTCTTTCAACTTTGCTTATAGTGTTTCTGTCATTCAAATTTTTATGTGATCAAATTCTAATTTTTTATTACACCTGAATTTTGAGTCATAGAGGGGCCTTCCATAGACCCAGATCATAGAGGAATTTACCCATATTTTCTTCTAGTACTTGTGTAGTTTCACTTCTTTACATTTTTCTGACCTACCTGGAGTTTATTCTTATGTATAATATAAGACATAAATCTAATTTTATCATTTTCTAAATGACTATCCTGTTGTTCCAGCACAATTATGGCAGTGAAACTACTCTGTATCATACAAGAATGGTGGATACATTTCATTACAAATTTGCCTAAACCCATAGAACATACAATACCAAGAATGTACCCTAATGCAAACTATGGACTTTGGGGTAAAAATGATGTTTCAATGTAGGTCCATCAATTATAACAAATGTACCACTCTGGTGGGGGATGTTAATAATGAAGGAGGCTATGCATGTGAAGGGGCAGGAAGTATATGAGAAATCGCTGTACCTTTTGCTCAATTTGCTGGGAACCTAAAACTGTTCTAAAAAAGAAAGTCTATTTTTTGTCTAAAAGATGTATCTAAAAAAAAAAGTCAGTTTTGCCCCAATGATTTTTGAAATATCATGTTCATTACATACTAAATTTCCATGAGTGGAAATTTATACATGTATAAATTATATATTATATATATATCCACATATATATATATGGAGAGAGAGAGAGATGATTGATTTCTGGACTTTCATTTCTCTGGTCTGTCTCTTCATGCACCCATACCATATACAGGGTTAATTATGGAGTTATTTAGGACTGTGCCCCCTCATACTTTTCTTTTTAGTATTTCCAGGTAGAAAGATCTTTTTTCCAATTTTGTTATTAATGCTAGTTTTACTGCACTAGTTTTACTTCTCTTTACAGAGAAGGTTGTAATTTTCTACATTATAAAACTTAGTGATGCTTTGTGACTTATGTCTTGTTTGTAAAGATTAGATTACATAATACCTTTTGCTATGTATCTTATAAAGCATTTCTACATACACCAATCTTCATAACACTGCCCTGAAGGCATCCTATGACCAACACATCCTGAGATGGGGGTTTGGGGTAGGGAGAGCAAGAACAATCCATTTAGTACTAGTCCCCAAAATATACGAAGGCTTGAATCCTCTCTCGTAGGTTGCCAACTATCAAAACAAAAAACTTCAGCCCTGAATTTGTAATACTCAAGAACTGTAGTTCTATGACCACCCTTATAGATATGAGTATAACATCAGATAAGAAAATTGCTGGGTTTTTTTCCCCTATCATAAACAGACTTACTGTAATCATGTAGATTTTTTTCCTTTAAATACCTGCTGGGCTTCTTATTCTGTTTTTCTTAAGTCTGGGCTCCCTTGCAAAGCACTGCAAGTAAAATCACTTTTTGTTCCATTAATATTTCCCTGTGAGTTTTGTTTTAAAGAACTAAGGATCAAATTACACATATAAAAGATTCCAATGCCTTAACGAGAACCCAGGTTAGTTAAAATCCAAGACGGGCAGAAGTTTCCCGAGGGAATCCCATTGCTCTTCCTGTTGGCTCCGTGGAGTGAAAAGTTGCGCCTCCAAAACCATTAGCTTGGAGTAGACTGATGGGCGCAGTTCGCACCACCAGAGGGGGCCGCGAATCCTGCACTAAACTTTAGGAAACCAGGCAGAAGACAGGGAGGCAGGGCGAATGGGGGGAACAAAAGGCCTCCGATGCCGTAATAACGGCAGAAATCTTGATAGAGCAAGGCCGCTCTTCACAGCGAGTAAAGAGCGTAGGCAAAATGCCCCTCGCACTCAGCTCTCCACCGTCATCTTGCTCCCCAGAAACGTGGGGCTGTTTTCTCCGGAAATTTTAATAGATGAACCAGTCGACATACCCCATACGCCCTCTCTCTTGGCCAAAGGGCCAGTCATCTTCTGCTGCCTGCTGCCTCTTCCCCACACCCTGGGTCTCAAAAAAGCAGTTCGGAGCCGCCCGAGTGGCAGATACGGGTCTCCCTAGCTTCCTCCGGTTCGGCCCCGCGCTAGGGCCTCACCTGTGGGTAGAGATGCTGCATGAACTGCTCCCGCGAAACGCCCTCGAGCCGGGGTACTGGGAAGCGCTGCCCGGCCATGGTTGCTCACACTCGCCCTCTGCCAGGCCTTGTGAAATCCGGTTCTAGCGTGGTCGTCAGCGCGCGATCCGCCCGGAAACACGACCGGAGGAGAAAAGATCCGTGAGTCCGGCCGACTTCAGAGTGGCTGGTTCCGAGGGCGTGGCGGGGAGCTGAAGGGCCTCTGCGGGGGCTGCGTGCTGGAGAGCCAGAATGGGGCGGACTCACCAGAGGTGGCAGCAATAGGCCAACTTTGCACTTCAGTCTCTTCTCCCACACCGCTGAGGTGGTTTCCCACCGACTTCCTTTCAGTACAGCACAGGCAAGCAGAGGGGTGAAAGGTCACGAAGATGGCGCTGGCCGCTGGTCTGCTACCCAAGCTACTGCTCTCTCGGTCCCTGCCCGGCGGGGCAGCCCGACCCTGGACTCCTGGTGCGGCCGAGGTGAAGCTGCCACTGGCCAGGCTTTGCTACCTTTGCCGCCGCCGTCTCGGCTCGGGAGCGGCCCTGATTTCCCGAAGCACTTGGGCCTTGGCGGCCCCTGCGCTGCCCGCCCGGGGCCTCCGGCGGCCAGTGCTCAGCCCTCGGGGACTCCCGGAAGCCCTTGCTTCTTTCCCTGCCTGTCCCCGGCGCAGCTACAGCACGGAGGAGCAGCCCCAGCAGCGCCAGAAAACCAAGATGATCATTCTGGGATTCGCCAACCCCATCAACTGGGTTCGGACTCGAATTTACGCCTTCCTTATCTGGGCCTATTTCGACAAAGAGTTCAGCATCGCAGAGTTCTCTGAGGGGGCGAAGCAGGTTTGTGTTATTTCCCTGGTTGACCTGTGTCCGCGTCTCATGAATTCACCTATTGCATACACGCAGAAATGTTTAGAGGTGAGGTTTCTTCACCCAAGTGATCAAACGTGGGTAGTGGCGGCCCAGAGCCCTCCATCCATTTCTGGACTTAAAGTAATCTTCTGGGTGTGTTTTTGTACGGTCGCTGAGAAGGAAGGGTTCCATTGAGAGACCAGAGTGAAGTCCCCCAATTGCTCTATTCACTCCGCAGGTTTCGAATCAGACAAATGGATTCAAAGCCTGTTTCTGGCACTGGAAAGCTGTATGGCCTTATCTTTCCTGAGCATGATTTTCCAAATCTGCAAAATGGGGAAGACAGTGCCAGGCACAAAGTAGGCACTTCATAAATGTTTGTTGAATAAATTAATGAGTGGATAGGATTGAAGAATAAATGAAATAACATTTCCAAAGTGCTGTAATGTCCTGGCATCTGTTTGATAGTTCCCCTTCACGACCACCACCTTATACTCGTTAAGGAATAACCTGGAGATTTTTACCTTTTCAACGAATTTGTTTTGACTACCTGGTTGCTTCTAAGTGCACGGCACCCTGCACACTAAGAATGTGTAGCCTTTGGTGGTTCATAGCCCTGACTCAGTTATGTCTCTCTTTCTGAATGGCTGGTGATACTTTGCCTTACCCTCACCACATAACGGTCACTTTGGGTCCTAAGACTATTTGCAGAATTTGTGTGTACATGCTTTTTTTTTTTTAGGATAAAGAGCCATCTATACCTTTCTTTTGACTTTCTTAGACTGTGTTATTTACAAACATTGCAGAAATATTGATAAACAATAGTCATAATTTGTTTTCCAGTTCATACCTCCATATACCTTAAAATGATGCCATCAGTGTAATCATTTACAATATTGGTTGTATACTAGTATTAATATTTTTACTCCTAATTTACTTAAGATTGTTTCCATAATCATTTGTTTATGTGACCTATCAATTGTAAATTAAATGTTTTCAATTTTATGTAATAAGTGTTAATATTTAACTCCTGTTTCCTGCTTCCCTGAGTCAACTCTTGACTACTATATGTGTTTATAAGAAAATGAAAAATCAAAGAGCAACTTGATTAACTGAGCATCATAATTAAGGGATAAGCCTCTGCTAACATCAGTTTGCAAAGTCTTTTGTCTGTGCAGAGGTAAATCGATGTGATCCTACTGTTCTCTACGATGCCCTCTGATAACGTGTAAGCTTGTCCACCTTATAACACGTAGTGACTGTAGCAGCTCATTTATGTGTCAGCAAGGAAAGGAAATCATCTCCCCATCATGGGCAGGAATCAGACCTCAGTCCCTGTTTTCTCTGTACACATCTGAGGAGCATAGAGCACTTTCTGATCCTAATGGTCCTTCAGCTGTTAGCTATTTTAGCCTCCTCTCTCCTTGTTGTTAAGCAGTATTTCCACCCCTTCATCAGCCAGTCTATATTTACTTTTGCTTTACCTAAGTCAATTTTTGTGCAGTTAACCAGTCTGACTTCCAAAAAGAATATCTGGGGTCATCTATGGCAAATATTTAGTGATTCCCTTAAACCAGTGGTTACTGAACATACCATTCAAATCAAGCAAATCAGTTTTTTAACACCTAAGATTTTTAAAGACATGGCCAAAAACCTCCCTACTATCATGATGTAACTGTACCTTCCCTTGTGGGCATAAACCTAGGGTTTAGGAATAATTTGATGCAAAACATGATCTAGTTTATCTCTTCTTTGCGCTTCACTTCCCTTTCTCCTTAGGCTTATCTTCCAGCAATAAGATGTAATCTTAGGCTATGAATATCAATTAGATCATGTTCATTAAGATTTTTATTTTTTAATCATAGAACATGAAAATGAAAATACACCTTTTATACTCTAATCCTTCTTTACAAGTGTTGAAACCAAGCACCAGAAAGATGAAACGATTAGCTCCAGGATGCATAGCTAGTAAGTGCTGAGGTGCATTGTCTACAAGAGTTGGGTCTTGGGACTTGTCTTGGTCCTCCACAGTCATTAAAGATTGGAGATGGTTAAATACAATCTAGGCAAGCATTCTATTCATCACGTGGCCCAGGAGAATAGGTGGCCTATTGCTTCATGAGCCTCATGTTAGCTCCACAGGCCCTGCTCGCTATTGGTAAGTGCATATGACATATCTTCCTTATTACTGCCATCAAACAATATATGTTTATTTTCTTATATCTTGCTTGTACAGTTTAGCCTATCCTATGGGGGAAAAAGGCTATCTCCTAGAAGCTGCTGGAGGTTGAACACTTCTATATTATCAAAGCCTTATCAGGGCAGCCTCCTAATGGTTCGTTATTACCTTTTAGGATAATTTGCTTAGGTGTGATCATCTGTGGCCACACAAACTAGAGTCTGATGGTTGAATTTCAACATGATGGTCTTTGTTTCTTTTGCTCAAATTATCACCCATCTTTTGCACATGAAGGCGTACCAAAACATACAGTATCTCTGAACCCTGAATGCCTCTGAAGTGTTTGCAGAGAGTCCTTGAATCCATTTGGGCATGTACATTTTCTCAAAATTCAACTCCATTATTGTATTAGTTTGCTAAGGTTGCCATAACAAAGTACCACAGACTGGGAACAACCAAAACTTCAATATCAGGGTGTCAGAAGGGTTGGTTTCTCCTGAGGCCTATCTCCTTGGCTTCCAGATGGCTGACTTCTTGCAGTGTCCTTGTATGGTCTTTGTTGTGCATGTGTGCCTCTGGTGTTTCTTTGTGTGTCCATATTTCCTTCTCTTATGAGGACACCAGTCAGACTATATTAGGTCCCAGCCTAATGGCCTCATTTTAATTTAATCATCTCTTTGAATCATCTCTTTAATTTAATCATCTCTATTTCCAGATACAGTTATGATCTAAGGTACTGGAGGTTAGAACTTCTACATATGAATTGAGAGAAAAGAGGGCACAATTCAGCCCATAACAATTATGCAGTATTCTCTCTCTGATGGGCCTATGCATCCCCTTTCTCCTGCCAGTTCTTCAGATTTCAGCTTAGATGTTACTTCCTTTAGGAATCCTTCTCTGATCCTCCCAGATTAAATTAGCTGACTCCTCCGTATGCTCCTAGGGCTGGGCATAGTGCCTCACACCTGTAATCCTAGTACTTTGGGAGGCCAAGATGGGAGGATTGCTTGAGGCCAGGAGTTCAAGACTAGCCTGGACAACATAGTGAGACCTTGTCTCCACAAAAAATAAAAAAATTAGCTAGGCATGCACCTGTTGTGCCAGCTACTCCCTTTATTAAAGGGAATTTGTTCTGTAAAATTTGGATTCAGTCGAAAGTTCTCACTTAAGGATCCAGAAGGCCACATGTGGTCCCAAGGCCACAGCTTCCCCACCCATAAACTGTTATCTTTTCTCCCACTTTCCCCAAACCTGCCTTATTGCTCCCAATGAGATTCAGACTGCAACCCTGATCTCCAGACTCCCAATACAATGTAGACTGTGCTGTTTCCCAACTGCTATCTGTGCATGATTAAGAGGTGGGTCGAAACAGTCAGATGGTTGTTTACTTCATTATTTTAAAAGGAAATATATAGGAGGAGTTTTATTGAGGCATCTGCTATGTACACCACACACTATCATTTTCCAGGTTCTGAGAGTGCATACATAATTAGCAGTCAATTCACTTAGTACTATATATGTGGGAAGGCCATATAAGAAAAATCAACCAACTTTGAAGGAGTCATGCCTAGTGCTGATGTATTAAATGTTAGTATTTGACATTGTTTATCACCTTTACCATAAAATAGTCTTTGTTACACTTAGGCACTTAAGTATGAGCATTGTGTGGTATTTTGCATGGTATTTTGAAATAATGCCAACATCTTCCCACTTTTTTTAAAGGCTTTTGCTCATGTGTCCAAGTTGCTGTCACAGTGTAAATTTGATCTATTGGAAGAACTTGTGGCCAAAGAGGTAAAGTATACTTTTAAGTTTCCTTTAAAATAAATGCATTACTCTCTTGCAATAGAATGATACACAATCTCCTTATTTATATTTAATACTTAAAAATTGTGTGTACTAGCAGCCAAAGTAGAGTCTATGTATCTGTCTTTATGCGTACTTTGGGCCATATAAAACCATGGAGAATAACTCATGCTACATAAGACATAAGTAAGTAAATATGATGTTTTTCAGTTGCTATTATATAGAATGTTCTGGTTAGGAATTTTCTAGATGAAGAATAGGATGAATCTGTACCCTTGCTTTGGAAGAGATACCTGTCAGCCTTGCTTTTGAGGATGAGTAAATATGGTAGTAAATTTAAAAAAAGATTTAGAAAAATGTATTTCATGATAAAGATCACTTTTTGAAAGTTTTCAAAAACTGAATTGGTGAACTAGTGGTTTGCTTTTTCCAAACTTAGGTGCTACATGTATTGAAAGAAAAGATTACTTCACTCCCTGACAACCATAAAAATGCCCTTGCTGCTGACGTGGATGAAATTGTATATACGTCAACAGGAGACATCTCCATTTACTATGATGAGAAAGGTAATGCCAGAGCATAGTAAACTTGGCTCTCTGTATTAAGTTTAAATGATTCATAACTGTGCAGACAAGCTAAACTGGTGGATAATGACAAAATAGTGGGGATTTGTCTGTACAAGTGGATATTTATAGAACTTAAAAGAAAATGATATAGTTATTCTTTAAAGACCCAGCTATGAAAGAGTTGAGATATGGTAGTAGTTCCTTATGCCTTTCTATCTAGAACTTTTCCCTACTAGTATTTAATTTACAGGAGAAAACACTATCATTAATGTTGATGAAAATAGTCTATTTAGGACGAGCTGCTCCCATGTCTCAATTTGAAAATATTTATGTCTTAGATTTCCTAACTTGAAGGAAACAAATGAGCATTTTAAATTTCCAGCTGCATGATATATGGAAAAAGTAAGGGGTAAAAGAAAATCAAAGTAAATAATGCCAGCTAAAGACTGATTTGAAAATGAGATTAACTATAGAACTTCCAAATTGGATTTATAATATTTGAGGATAATGAGAAAAGTTGGAGGGAAGTTTAATGGTTATATAGTTCTTCTCCTTGTCCAATACATATATTTTTCCTATAGTATTCCTAAAAATTCACTGATTGATTTATTCCTTCTACACATACAGTTGGCTCTCTGTATCGTATCCATGGGTTCTGCATCTGTGGATTCAGCCAACCTTGTATGGAAAAAAGGTTGCATCTGTACTGAATATGTACAGATATTTTCTTTCATTATTCCTTAAACAATATGGTGTAACAACTATTTACATAGTATTTACATTGTATTAATATTAGATATTATAAGTAATCTAAAGATGATTTCAAGTATACTGGAAGATGTGTGTTATGTTAATACTACATACACCATTTTATATAAGGGACTTGAGCATC